CGAAAGAGCTCTGCTTTGTTCTTGGACTCACTTACCCATCTCTGATTATTGCTTCTTTTCCTCTGCCTGGCATGACTCATGCCACCCCCTGGCTGAGTTTGGTTTCTTCTTGGTTACATGAGCAGATCTTTTAAGCATGAAGCCCAATGACTCAGCTGCATCCCTGGGGATTGAAGTAGTTAAGATGGGCTTTCTTTTGTAGCACTGTGCCGTCTTTAAGCATTTATGAAGCGCTTTCCCCAGGCTGTGGTTGCAAAGAGGCTGAGGACTAGGTGTCCAGCTTTGGGCAGATGGTGAGGGTTCCACTCTGCCCTTCTTAGTAGTGGGATATTTGGCAAGTGCCATAACCTTTCTCACATGGGGCCCCTGTGGATGGTTGCACAGGCTGCACACTGCACAACCCTAGGAGGCTCTATTCAGGTAGAAGTCCACGTGAATAGAACGCCCTGTGGATGTGCTGCACATGACACCAACAGCTCACATGCTGCTGCATATGATCCTCTGAGTCTGTTTCCTTCTCTGTAAAACTGATTTGATCACTCACCATTAAAATTGTTGGGGAAATTATTATCCACGTAAACTTCCCAATCTCGGCTTAGGGTATCGGCCAAGCGTGTGGCGATGTTGTGTGACCGGATGCTCAGAAGTGTAGGAGTGGCCTTTGTCCTTAGTCAGGTTTATTGTCTTGTTTGAGAGGCAAGACAAACCCTCTAAAAATAAACCCTGGGAGGTGTGTGGACCTTGGCCAGACCCCATGAGCGCCCCATGTACCCATCACCTTTAGCACTCCAGTGCTAGCCAGCCAGCCTCCCAGGGCCTGCATGGGCTTTTTTTTGGCCTGAGGGATTCTGCTTGTCACCCGTGCAGCGGGTCAGAAGTGCCAGGGAATTAAAGGCCTTTGGGAGCAGGTTCGGCTGGCACATAAATGCCTCTGCTCCCTGGTCCTTCAGTGGGATAACTCAGAAGTGGGTATTCTACACTGGCTCCTGGAGTTCCCAGCTGGACAACGCTCTATCACATGGGAAGCTGGCTGATGACATTCCTTTCCCTCTCTCAGTTCTCCACCCTCCTGCAGCATACTTGGAGCCTCCTGGGTAGCTTCTTGCATTTCAATTCCAGTCTTTTTTTTTTTTTTTTTTGGAGACAGAGTCTCGCTCTGTTGCCCAGGCTGGAATGCAGTGGTGCGATCTCAGCTCACTGCAACCTCCACCTCCCAGGTTCAAGTGATTCTTGTGCCTCAGCCTCCTGAGTAGCTGAGATTACAGGCATGTGCCACCACTCCTGGCTAATTTTTGTTTTTTTTGGTAGGGAAGAGGTTTCACCATGTTGGCCTGGTTGGTCTCGAACTCCTGATCTTAGGTGATCTGTCTGCCTTGGCCTCCCAATGTACTGGAATTACGGATGTGAGCCATTGTGTCCGGCCTAATTTCAGTCTTAAGATTGGCTTCTTAAGAAGCCAGACAGCGACACAGGGCTGTTCTCCTTCAGAGCTCCAGGTGCATTCCCACCATGCAACCTGCAGTCTTGTTGCAGACTGATTGACCTGTTTGCTTCCCTCCTGAACCTAAGTGCCAAGCCCATATCTTCTCTGACATGAAAGCCCCAGTGCACAGCACAGTGCCTGACCTGAAGTGGGACCCACAGAGAATCTGCTGAGCGCTCCTGCAGTGTGGGCTTCACCCACATAGCATATCTCCAGGGTTAAAATAATTGAAGTGAGTATATTTTCCCCAGTATCTACTTTCCAATGCACTTGATCTTTTTCATTGCAAGTTTAATGAGTGATCGTTAAAAATTAAGCCTATAAATTTCAGGTGGATTTCATCACAGACCCTGGAGAAGAGGCAGGGGGAGAATTCTTGCCAAGGCACTGCCTTCTTCCTCTCTGAAAGGACACGGATGCCTGAGCTACCAGATCAGGACGCTGTCTCTGCGTGGCCCACATTTCTCTGGAGTGTGTGGGAATGGACCTGGGGTAGGAGTCAACCTTCCCTGGCAGCAGCAGCTGCTCAGTGTCCCTTGGGCATCCTGCGTGCAGTGTGCTCGGCCTCTCTGCCGGAAGCTGTCATCTTGGGGAAGGGACCAGAGCAATATGCCAGGGAGAATCTCAGAACCAAGGTTACACAAAAGGTCTGGCAGGATTCATTGCCCACCTTGCTTCCACTTCCTCTCCCACCCCCTTTACAAAGGTATCATGAGTACTTGATACCTAGGTGATATTTTAGTTCTGGCTTCTGACCATCTGCTGCCTCCTGGTGATGGCTACAATTACTGGCCCATGTCTGGTGACGACTCCCATGTTTTTACGGTGACCTAGCACAGGATTGAGGCTCTTCATCTTGATTTATGATGGCTGCCATGCAGCCTTTCCATATTTGTCCTTATTTTGACATCATACAGGTCCTTGAGCAGCTCACCTGGCCTCTCCATGGGCTAATGTCCCTAATGGGAAAGCAGAGATTCTGGAATATACTGTGTAGAGTCATTGGAGGATTAAATGAGATAGTCCATTTAAAAGTGCTTGGTACAGTGCTTGACATCAAATAAGTGTTCAGTCAACATAAGTTACTATTGTGACTCACCTTGTCACCCAAGCTGGGGTACAGTGGCGCCAATATGCCAATACGGCTCACTGCAGCCTCAACCTCATGGGCTTAAATAATCCTCCTGCCTCAGCCTCCTGAGTAGCTGGGAATATAAGTGTGTACCCCCATGCCAAACTAAGTTTTTCATTTTTTTGTAGAGATGAGATCTTGCTACGTTGCCCAGGCTGGTCTCGAACTCCTGGCCTCACTGTCTTGGCCTCCCAAAGTGCTTGGATTACAGGTGTGAGCCACTGCGCCCAGGCCTAGACCTTTTTTAAAGTCTCATTCCCCCCAGAGGTTCCCTATGAATCCTACCAAACCTTTTGTGTAACCTTGGTTCTGAGATTCTCATTTGCATTGAACTCCAAACCCTTTGCCCACGTTCCGCTGATTAGCCCTCTCCTCGCACATTTCCGTATTACTACTCACCCCTCTTTGGAGCACTTGCCCCTCTTAATATCCCAAGCCAAGGCCAGAAAGTCAACCATGGAGGTGGGAGGGATGTGGCATAGGGTTAGGGAACTATGAACATGTACAAGGGCTTGGGTTGAGAGTCAATGACATCCTCAATACCAGTCCCGAAGCGTAAGCACTGAGAACAGCAAACAGCTGCCAGACGTTCCAGAGGAGGAGGAAGGCCCAGGGACGAGGCCTGGCCTCAGCAGCTCTTCAGCCTCTTCCTTCCTCCTGCCCTCCAAGGCTGCCTCTGCTCCTGTATCCCAAACCTCAGCCCTGTAATTACTACTTGCTATCCTGTCTCCAGTCCATCCTTCACCGTGACACATCCTGAAGCCTCTTAGACACTTTTATCACCACAGGTGACATCTCTGACACCCCTGGTCATATGCCACCGCAATATTTATAGGCTCGTGGGTTGCCGATCCCGATAAGGGGAGAAAGGCTATGGAGGGAATTAGATGCCGACAATGCAAAGTTGAGCTGGGCAGGGCGCAACTCTCGTTAATGTCCCCGTAAATCATGCGATTGCTTCAGGATGCTCAATGTTTTCGTATTCGTCTCCATTTTTCAAGGGGAAAGTGTTTAATCTATCAAGCCAATTCTTTACGAATGACCTGTCAGTTATAGAGGCATCAGGTGGTGTCTTCATGGATCTGTGATTATATCAAAGAGCTGGGGAAGGCTGGATGTCTTATGGTAACATCCTATTTAGAGTCCTCATTGGTAAGCAAAGGTGTGGCGCCATAAACCAGGAGCCATGCCAGGGTGTGTGGCTAGAGAGACTAGTGAGAGTCAGCCCATGCTCCCTTAAGGGGCCCGTGTTTGCAGAAGGAAGCGCCTCAGTCAGTAGTTACCCGGTACCCATGGTCAGTGTGCCCAGTGCACTGTAGTCAGACACCAAAGCGTAGTATAGCTCACTCCTCGTGGGGACTCAAGAAAGCCTTTGTAAAGGATAGAGTTTTTAAAAATGGTTTTTTAAAAATGGTGGTAAAATACACTTAACAAAGTGTACCTTTTTTTTTTTTTTTTTTTTTTTTTTTTTTAGCTCGGGAGCGGGTAGTGTCTGTGGGAGACTCAGCTGCCCCCGACCCTCCAAAATGTACTATTTTAAGTGCACATTCCATTACCATTAAGTGTATTCACGTCGTGATGCAGTCAATCTCCAGAACTTTTTCATCTTGCAAAACTGCAATTCTATACCCATTAGACAACATTACCCCTCCCTCCAGCCCCTGGCAATCATCATTCTGCTTTCTGCCTTTACGAATCTGACTCCTCTAGGGACTTCTTATCAGTGGAATCACACAGGATTTGTCCTGTTGGGAGTGGCTTATTTCATTTAGCATCATGTCTTCAGGGTTCATTTGTGCTGTAGCAACCATCAGCATTTCCTTCCCTTCTACAGCTGAATTCCATCGCATGGATAAACCACATTGTACGTATCATTTATCTGTTGATGGACACTTGAGTTCTTTCCACCTCTTGTGGTGCTGCTATGAACATGGGTATAGAAGATGGGTTTTTAAACGATGAATCTTGAAGAAGTAGGATTTCACTGGCAGGGCAGGGGAAATCAGGGACCAGGGAACACACCACAGCATGTGCAAAGGCCCTGGGTCATGCTGGGTCTCAAGCATGTGGTTCAGAGTGAAGGGAGATGAGGCTGGACAGCAGACTGAGCTGGAATCACAACAGGCCTGTGTGACGTAGAGAGGGTCCCCAGCCACAAGACATCATTATGTGAAGATGGTAATTAGATGTCATATTTCCCAGGAATGGACCACATTAAAGTTTTCCTGAGTCTCAATGGAGCACACAAAAGGAAATGGTTTGCTCACCAGTCAGAGCATATGGTCTGTTGGGCTGCTTATAAAGCCGGTCTGAACCCATAGCAGGATTCAGCACCAAATCCTACTATGTCACTGGCAAAACTTTGCCATAGCTGCTTAGGGTAACACGCCCTTTGGAGTGCTAAGAATTCCTGAGAATTGGGACTGAGTCTAATTCAAATCGTTTTGTGGTCTTAAATGAGTGACTTACACCTCCTGAATCTCAGTGTTTTTATTTGTCACATGAACAAATGAATCACTTTTAAGAATCCTTAAAGCTTCCCCAGAGTCCATGCATTTATAAATTCTATCAATGCTGGTGTTAAATATGCTGCTACTCTCCCCCGTTACTCTGTGGGAATATAATTCTACAAATCGTTGGCCTTAGACAAATTGTTTAACCTCTCTCCGTGCCTTCGTCTGAATCATTAACTGTAAAATAGGGTTGTTAGAAATAATACCTTCCCTTTTTTTTTCCTACAGGTGACTGTATGTATCCATATGGAACTTGGGAAAGAAAGCATTCCAAGCAAGGTGTTGCTCTTCCTTTAACACTTCATTGCATCAGGCCATTTTCTCCACCTCTCCAATATCGACGCTCAGTGCTTATCTTCCTGAGCTCTTTTCTTCAAATTTCTTGACATTCCTCAGGGCCCAGCGTCTCTCTTGACTCTTTTGCAGAATAATGTCTTCTTGGTCATCCATGTGTTGGGCTGGTCAGATCAGAAACAGGTGAGTGAGACCCCCTTTACCTCCGCAGGCTGCCTTCAGGTACCCTGGCCCAGTCACAGCAGGTGGGATATACATACCCTTCCTGCCTTGGCTCATCTCTTTCTCTTCTTGGGGAGCGCCTCCCCACCTGTGGCCACCAGAGTCCTTCCATCCTTCAAGGTTCCTGTCAAATGTCCCACCCCCATGACAGCTGACTGAAATCCCCTCTTCTCACCCCAGTAGAACATTTCTCCCCACTTTGATTGACATCTGCATACAACTTGGCATCTTACAATTTGTCATCGTCCTCCCCCAACAGATACTAGTGGACAGATTATACATGTATGTGTCTGTTCTGTATGTGGGGCATCTGTGATTTTCATCAGATTCGCAAAGTATCTGCAACAAGAAGTGAATATTGGCTGGCACTTTGGGAGGCCGAGGTGGGCAGAGCACGAGGTCAGGAGTTTGAGATCAGTCTGGCCAACACAGTGAAACTATGCCTCTACTAAAAACTATGCCTCTACTAAAAATACAAAAAACTAGCCAGGTGTGGTGGTGTATACCTGTAATACCAGCTGCTTGGGAGGCTGAGACAGGAGAATAGCATGAACCTGGGAGGCAGAAGTTGCAGTGAGCCAAGATTGCACTACTGCACTGCAGCCCAGGCAACAGTACAAGACTCTGTCAAAAAAAAAAAAAAAAAAAAAAAAAAGACATGAATGTTAAGGGCTACTGAATTATAAAATTAAATGTAAAAACTGAAATCAGAAAAAACTAAGAAAACACAGCATTTATCTAAGCTTTGTGGTGAGGAGCTCTAAGCATGATAGGAAAGAATAAGAACATAGAAAATATAAGAGGTTTGGCTTTCTAAAAAACAATATTGTATATTAAAAAAAAAGCCAAGTTAACCTAAAAATTGATAGAATAAGGTAAATTTTCTTTTTGATATTGTGTTAGTTTTCCACTACAGCTAGTGCTCGACTTATGACCACGATTGGTTCCGACAGACCGGTCGTAACACGATTTGGTCATAAGTTGAGTAGGCTATATGCACGTGGAGACGGTAGTGCTGCCCGAAGCTGGTCCGCACTGTCGTATGCCCAGCTGGGCAACGTTTGCGCTGCCAGACGCGGAGCAGTCGTGGCTAGCGACTGTGGTCGTAAAGTCAAATGGTCGTAAGTTGCATAGGTCGTAAGTCGATCAATACCTGTACTGTCTTTACAAACTACTACAAAATTAGTGGCTTAAAACAGCACAAGTGTAATGTCTGACAGTTTTGTAAGACAGAAGTCCAAAATGGGTCTCAGTAGGCAGAAATCAAGGTGTTGGCAAGATTGCATTTCTTCTGCACGTTCTAGGGAGCATCTGCCCTCTTCCCTTTTCCCTATTTCTGTTTCTAGGAGCTCCTTGCATTGCGTGACTCTTGGGCCCTCCCTCCTCCCATTTCCAAAGCTAGAGCGCTCAGCTGGGTCTTTGTCGCATCCCATCATCCTGCCCATGACTATTCTGCCACCCTCTTCCACACATAGGGACCCTTTCACTTTCTAAGGCCAGCCACACTAATAAAGCAACACAAACTGGCCGGGTGCGGGGGCTCACGCCTGTAATCCCGGCACTTTGGGAGGCCGAGGCTGGTGGATCACTGGAGGTCAGGAGTTTGAGACCAGCCTGGCCAACATGGCAAAACCCCGTCTCTACTAAAAATACAAAAATTAGCCGGGCGTGGTGGTGCATACCTGCAATTCCAGCTATTTGGGAGGTTGAGGCAGGAGGATCACATGAACCTGGGAGGCAGAGGTTGCAGTAAGCCAAGATCACACCACTGCACTTCAGTCTGGGTGACAAGAGCAAGACTCTGTCTGAGGGGAAAAAAAAAAAAAAAAGTACCACAAACTGAGTGGCTTACAAGCTTATTCGCTCATAGCTCGGGAGGCTGGAATCCTGAAATCTAAGTGTCAGCAGGGGAGGTCCTACCAGAGGCTTAGGTGGCCTTCTTCTAGCTTCTGGTGGCTTTCAGCAATCCTTGGCTTCTAGCAGCAAAATGCAATCTCTGCCTCTATTGTCCCATTCTCTCTATATGTCTATATGTGTCTGTGTCTCTTGTTTTCTCTTCTGATAAGGACAGCAGTCACTGGATTAGGGCCCGCCCTAATGCACGTTACCTTATCTTATTTTAACTAATTATGTTTCCAAAGAACTTATTTCCACATAGGGTCACATTCTGAAGCTCCAGTGGGCATGCATTCTAGGGGGACACTATTTAACCCAGTGCACTTGTGACTACATCGGGCCCCGCTGGATAATCCAGGAAAATCTCATTTTTTAAATCAGCTGATTAGCAACTGCGTTATTCCATTTTGTGTTGCTATAAATACACACCTGAGGCTAAGTCTATTATAAAGAAAAGAGGTTCATCTGGCTCACGGTTCTGTAGCCTGTGTAAGGAGCATGGTGCCTGCATCTGCTTCTGATGAGGACCTCAGAAAGCTTCCAGTCATGGTGGAAGGTGAAGGAGCAGGCGTATCACATAGTGAGAAAAGGAGCAAGAGTGGGAGGGAGGGGTGCCATGATGCTCTTTTAAACAACCAGCTCTTGCGTGAACTAATGGAGCAAGAACTCACTCAGCACCAAGCCATTATGAGGGATGTGTCCCCATGACCCAAACACCTCCTACTGGGCCCATCTTCAACTCTGGGAATCACATTTTAATGCGATTTGGAAGGGATAAACATCCAAACTATCTGAGCCACCTTCATGTAATTTATAACTGCAGTTCCCCCTTGCCACATAACATATTCCCCATATGTGAGGTTTAGATGTGGACACCATTGGGTGAGGAGGGTACATTGTTCTGTCTAACACAGACATAAAAAAGGCTCCAGAGCTCAGATGATCCAGTTTAGATCACCCCACTGCTGGGCCGCTGGACTGCCCCCAGAAGAATTTGAGGGAGACCCTAGGAGGCCCATGTGCCCCTGGTAAGACCATACTCTCAGATGCCACCACAACCTGCCCACCTTATCTCTACAAAATGCCCAGGAGGTCAGTTCAAGAAGGAGTCTGTAATTAGAACTGGATTTCTCTGCCCTGCAGCTTCACGGAGACCTCAGTGTCCACGTAAATGACTTCTGACACCAGGGCCCCTCAGCTGCTTGTCTTTCCACATCCACCATCTCCATCTTTTCCTTTTACTCTCCTCATCCACGTCCTCTCGATTTTCATTATACCGTCACGTGAAGCGTTGTTTTTGGCTTTGCTTGTTGAGGCGGGGTCTCACTGTGTTGCCCATGCTGGAGTGCAGTGGCTGTTCACAGGCATGGTCGTAGCACACAACGGCCTTGAACTCCTGGGCTCAAGCTGTCTTCCTGCCGCAGCCTCGTGAGCAGCTGGGATTACAGGTGTGCACCATCTGTACTGATACCCAGAAATAGATTCTGGCTTAAAGAATCTGCGGAGGTCCCAGGCCATCAGTATTGTCAGCACTATCGTGGGCTATTTCTAATGTGCAGCCAGGGCTCTGAGCCACTGCCTGGCCCATTGCTGGGAGCCTCCTAAGTCTTTATCTGTTTTAGTCTTGAGCTGGCACCACCTAGTTTCCAGCTTCCTTCCTGCAACACTCCCAGTGCCCTGCCAGGACTAATGCTGCACTGAATCCTCTATACATTCATTGTTCATTCATAAAATCCTTTAATCCCTGCCTGAAACCCACGAGCTGCTGTCCCTACTTCACACATGCTCCCTTTGGGGGGTTTTGAGCACAGGCATGACACAATATGATTTTAAAAGTTAAAGATTATTCTGGCTTCTGTATGGGAAAAAGACTGTGGAGCAGGACTAGAAGCAGGGAGGCTGGTTATCCAGCTAACCTGGAGGTGCCTCCAGTAGCCCAGGAAAGAGCGGACAGTGGGAGAACCGCAGCGGTGGAAGACGTCAGGCTAGGGATGTACCTTCAAGACCTGCTAATGGAGCTGGCTTAGAGGGAAAGAGCAGAGTAAGATGAATTCGTACTTTTTGTCTGAGCATCTGGGTATGCTGCACCCTTAACAGAGGTGTGAATAGCACGCTGAGCAGGTGGAGGTAGAGGAACCTTAGATTCAGCATTGGTTACATCAAATTAGAGAGGCCTAGTAGAATCCAAGGGCAGATGTCAAATGGGCAATTGTGCCAATGAGTCTGGAAGCTCGGAGGAGAGGTTAAGACTGGGAAGATGGATTTCGGTGTCCTCAGTAAATATGTGATGTCTTAGAACCAGATGAGGTCATCCAGGGAGTCATGCAGATGAAGAAGTATGTCCTGGGATATTTGTTTAATGGTCAAGAGGCAGGGGAGGGGGAGTGAGAGGGACTGAGAAGGAACAGCCATGAGTAAAGGGGAAACCAGAGAATTCTGGCATCCCCAGTGCTAAAGAGTTTCATGGAGAAGATAATGACCAGCTGATCCAGTGTAGCAGATGTCGGGTCACAGCAGGTTCAAGGCTTGCCTGTTTGAGTGTGGCACCGTGGAGATCACTGGTGACCTCAGCAAGTGCAGGACTCTGGTGGTATAGAAGTCCACCACCAGCGTGGGCACAGAGAGAAGGGAAGCAGGATTGATCGGCAGGATACTGGCCCTCCAAAAATGTTCAAATCTGAATCCCCAGGGCCTGTCTGTTAGCTTGCATGGCAAAAAAGGTCATTGCCCATGGGATGAAGTTCAGGATCTTGTGATGGGGATGTGTCCTGGATAATCCAGGTGAGTCCAAGGTAATTTCAAGAACCTTAACAAGAGAGGCAGAAAAGTCAGAGTCGGAGAGAGACTAGAAGGTGATCCACTGTTGGCTTTGAGATGTGGTCATGAGCCAGAGGCTGTGTAGAGGTGATGGCAATGCGGGCAGCCTGTGGAGGTGCAAGTGACTGGGAGACAGCTTCTTCCTGGAGCCTCCAGGAGGCGTGCAGCCCTGCCTTGCCTTGATTCTACCCCAGTAAAACCCATTTGGGACCTCTGACCTCCTGTAAGGTAATGTATGTATAATACAT